TACTCTCGGCGTCTCACCTTCTTCATAAAATGCACATTCTTTACAGCTCTTGCGACGAGCTTCTACCCCAGGAAGAGCGAGAGCTAATATTCAAAACCTTCAACGAACAGCTTCTCCGGCAGGGCATGTTTGTTGAAGCTGCTGAATTTCGACTTGTTTGTGTTCCGTCGTATCCAGCTCTCTATGACTATGCTCAAAAGGATACATTCGTTAACGTGTTTTGTTTTGAATGCAACAAACCCTATGAAAATCCAATCCAAGACAATAAGCTATGCCACCGATGCAACACACCTCAACCCCCATGTACAATTTGCGTCAGTCGTAAACCCCCTGCAGATTGGGTGGCCGAAACCAACCATGGCCCACGAACTAATACCAACCTTACTAATGGTTCTTATACGAACATTAGCCCGCTTGAAGATGGCTTAATATACCAACAACAGGAACAGCCTGGATCTCGATTATACGGCTCAGGCCTGTGGTCATGGTGTCAGACATGCGGACACGGAGCCCATACAGCTTGTTTAACTGCGTGGCTAACAGATATATCACTTAGCGAAGGTGGCTGTCCCACTCCTGGATGCTTCCATGACTGTGGGCCGGGCCCCCGACGAGAACAGAACCGCCTTGCCCAACAGGAAGCTAGCAAAAGGTCGCGAAATGCCTTCTATGGTCGCAAGCCGAGCTCAACGTTTATCAAGAGAGATTCATGGACAGCCGGCGAAAGCAGAGCTGTTGAAAGGGTCAGAGGCATCCTTGGCGGAGGAGTTTCTAGTACTGTGGAGGCTGGACCTACCGCAGGCCAAGGAAGTACCACCGGACCTTCTTCCGGTGGTTTAGTGCCTTCGGCTGTTATATCTCCAAAGAAAGTCAGACTTGTTGCACCCGGTGAACAAGACACCGTAGGAAAGGAGCGCTAAAGCCCCGGTATTATTAGCTTTGCCCTTTTGAATTGATGCGCATCTAGAGGATAGATGTGACGGGGCATTTCATTTACATACCAAATGGATATAATGATCTTCCAGGCTATGATGGTTATTGGCAGGTTCATAATCCAACATTGTACTAGTTTTATATACCCTTTTGTCCACGTATGATAGTATTAGCCTATTTAACGGAATATCAATAGCTTGCGTGGGCTTCACCGGATCCCAACTTTAGACGACCTACCTAGGCGTGTAGGCACGGTGCCTGTAGTTATGGATGGATCCATGCTCAATGCCTGACCTAAGTTAGGCTTTCGGCCTGGAAAAATAAAATGCCAGCCAAAGTTCATTCAGGTATCGCATTTAAGGTTACTCCCTTGTGGGGAGGGTCAAATTTAACCACATCCATTGCCAAGTAACTTTGATATAAACAATCAATAGGGTTGTTTAAACATTGTTCAACATTAGACATGGACACCTGAAGACTCTTATGTAAAGACTACTGCTCTAATCTTCCTGGGGTTGCTATACATACCCTCCTCTGCCTAGAACCACGGCTGTTGGTTAACCAATTTTAAAGTTATTCTTTATCTAACCTCATGGCTCATGATCCACCGGCAGTAGGTATTGGTGATAATCTAGAATACCTAGTGTCATGCGCAATGAGTTATTCTTTGGTTTAGGATTTAATTTTACTACTTCAGTCATGGATGTCTTTTCCCAACCTTTTTCAGTGACAAATAGAACTATCTTAATAGTCGATCACAAGAAATTGCATCAATAACTTACTTTACTATTTTGGTAAGTAAAGCCTAGAGGCTTATAGCTTTGGAGTTTTGTGCAAATCTTGGTATCTATTTTTGAATATCTCCCATTAGTTGGGTAACTTTCTTTAGTTAACTCCTTGCTTCATATTCTGGTCTACAATTAGGAGAGTAACTATAACGAGGACTCTGCCTTCTGGTTAGTTTTATCCGGAAATTAGCTAATCTTAGTCCCTCTAGAGTGGTTTCTTCTTGTAACGGTGCAGCAATATTAAAAATACATGGCTTATAGTCTTCAATTATGCTTGTCCCAGCCTAAAGGATGACTGTTTTTACGTTCTATCAAAGAAGTCAGAACCAGTGTGACACAAAGTCCGCGAAAATCTGGAATCTAGAGATTCTACGGAGTATGTCTCGAGATAAAACCTGAGAGGTTAGTAATATTCAAGGGTTTAAAACCTGCATGGTTTAACTCTTCTAGGGTTGAGCGATCTAGAATATCCATCGACCACAGTGGATGGCTGGATTCAAGCGTTTACGGTATGAATGACTCAAACAAGAGTCTCATGGCCCTTTCCCGGATTAGCCAGCCTATTAAAGGTCTTTGAATGCATCCTGTATTCTATATACCTCTGCAGCTTCATGGATATATCCAAGGAAATCTCGGTCATCCGTTAAACCTGCCTTCATTGACTTGTTGCCTCGGCTGAAGATTATAGAAAGCAAGACAAGAGTTTAATTTTCGTCGCACACGGTCTAATGATAGATCGTTTCCGCCATGGAGTAATCCTGCGCCCAGGACCAAATTCTCCGGCAGCGAATAGATATATAAATGGGTAACATGCAGGAAGACAACCTCTCGGCAAAGACATTGGATGAAGCGAGGTTCAATATCTGCATGTGCATCAGGGCGTTTGAATGTCAAATGGTATCACCCAAGGTTATTCAATACCTCCGAGGATCAATAATCGGTGCGAAATATAGGTGTAATATCACCGTGGCCAGGAGCGGGATCGAGAGTTCCGGAACTTTGTTCAGGGATATTTTTTATAGTAAAATTCACCAGTCGCCACTTCTCTCTGCGCTGATAACTAACTAACCCTTGACTAATAGTTAATGGCGAGGAGCTCATTCGTGCGGCAGCATGGGGAGAACCCGTGTATGTTCAATTGGCTTTTCGGCTGATCATCCATCATCCCGCTGTGGTCTGCAAGGCGTAAATAATGATGTCCTAGAGGGAACTCAGAGACCTCCGAGGAACAGGGTCAAATTATTCCCTGCATGTCCCTAGGGAGAAGATGCGCTGGAGCTTAAGAGGGGGTGGGTGGAAGAATGGTTATGTATGGGTATAAACGTTTGCAGCCTCCAGATGTCGTACAGCGGGCTCAGAGATCCGATCCGGTTTTGAACACAAGGACGGCACAGGGTGAATGTTGGACGAAGAGACGGCGTGGGTGAATGCTCGGCAGTCTCTTTTGTAATTGTTACATGAGTTACGGCTACCAGGTAAGATCATTCTGCATGGCGCTGCAATTATAGCGATGGTGACTTGCATCAAGCAGAGTACCCAGAGATTCATTGATATTCTTCCCCCTTTGCGTGTCTGCAGGATGCATCACTTCCACATTGGTTGAACAAAGCCATCAGTTCCCAATTATCGAACCGCTAAGCGTGTGGCACGGCGCCGCAGTCTCCGGTTGGCTTTGAATGCTAACGTCATGCTTTGTTATTCCATTAACTAACTGGCTTCGCTAGAGTTATCCTCATCCCGTAGGAAATGAAAGTGACAGCGGCGGGCTCCTTTTCAGTCATCAAAAAGCAAATACATGATTTTTCCAACTGACGGGTACCCCCGTACAGAGTAATGGGCGTCCACTTAGATACGATCAACCGCCGTGCTGCATCCTGGAATCAATTCAAACGCCCGGTGTGCCTTGGATAGGGTTGAATCCGTAGAATATCAACTCTGGAAGAGCCAGCCACGGTAAAGTCGACACAGGAGGTGCTTTTTGGACACGTCATCTTCAACATCGAGGCCACCATCTGGTATTAACCAACCTCGATTACAGTTCTACCACGGAGTACGTGTCCCTGATATACCTAGGATATAGTCGAGAACAGACTAAACTTTCAATGGTGTTTAAACATGACCCTTCGTATGGTCTCTCAAGGGCGAATGTACTACTTCACATGGGTCAGCACTCACAGGTTCATGGAGATTGCACATATTGTAGTTACGGAGTACGGAGTACAGAGTGTTAGGATGCATTCTCCGTACTCTGTACTACGCTCCGTGGTGCGGCTATACGGAAAGTATGTGAGACCTGAAGTCCATAACTATTTCGTCAAGCCAAAAAAACGCACAGTACGGGATGCAGTTACAGAGGAGAATGGCAGCCTGACCCAAAGGCGCATATAGCTACTCCGTAATCGACCTTGACAGCAAAGACGCTAGGTCCTCCCCCCCGTTTCCCCCTCCCTTTGCTTTTGACTGCTGTAAACTAATAATGCAGAAGCTAGATGAGCATATTCTTGCTCTCAACGTACGGGATACTTCGTATCTCCTAGACGAGGATGGTGGTTGTAATGCGGAGTAGAGCACGGAGTAAAGGAGAAACGGACGTCCTTAGCGCAGAGCCAGGTTTATAGTATTAGCATCATTGGCCCGGTGAAAGGGTCTGATCGCTTGTGCACCAGGAAACACTGACTATGACTGAACATGAGAAGAGACCGCATGGGGGCGGCTGATTTTGATGCCATATTTTCGTTGTTTTATTAGCCCTCTAAGTACGGCGTATCACCCCCCAAGCCAAACAAAACCACGCCTGGTCCAGATAACTAGCCACTATTTGATTACCAGATAAATGACCTCTTACTGCAGCTAATGTACATATGTCGAACGGGGAGCCAGCCGTGTACATGCCCACCTCATGCACCCAAGGAAATACCCCCACATTAAGCTCGCCGGCTCAAAAATGGGTGGAAATCGAAACCGTAAAGGAAGCCGAAAGTCACTCAATAATAAACCCCATACGCCAGCGGTGCTTATGGGTCCCAGTTAAAGGGGAGAGAGAAAGAAAAGAAACAAAAATCCGAACGAAGAACAGCCAGTCGAAGGGCTTTGGCTCTGAAAAAGTAAACGAAATGGGGAGAAAAAGCAAAATAGAGAATCCCGTTTACAGGGCACGGCACACTGGTGCCCCAGCGCAATGTTCAAAGCAACGGCTGGGAAAAAGAAAGTAATGGGAATAGGACGAATGTGTGCCCATCGAGTTGGAGAAGTGTGTATCCACAAACGAAATATCAAAGTTTACTGGAGTAGGGGATTAAAATCTCGACCGATCGGCTGGCCTCCTAAGACAGTAGTCCCAGAGGGTTGTTGGTTCTCATCCAGATCCAAGTCGGGGTAAAATAATGGTGATCGTGGTATGAGCTCATTACAACCCAAGAGGTTTTCAAGCCCGTAGTCGCTCAACACGTAGTCATTCACTGGTTCTGCAGGCCCATACTCAACGCAGCTCGCCGTTTGAGCGAGTATGTCGTGTTGATTGAAGGGTATATCAGAAGGAGGCGCATTTTGAGAGTTTCGGTCAAGTCTTTGAGACTCTTGAATGGCTCGTCTGTATTTGGCGGCTTTTTTGGCGGCACGACCTCCCCTAGCTCCTGATTTTTGCCTCTGAGGGGCTGGATGATCTGATTTTTGGGATTTCTTGTGGACTCCTGGTTTGCGGTAACGGGTTGTGGACTGTACTCCATGCCTGATGGCACGTTCAGTGAGGACCCAAGCGTTACCAGATTTCCGGGTTTGCGCCCCAGGTGATAAAACTTCTTTGACACCTTCGAATGCCTAGTAAAGTGAGTAGGAATGCTTATGAAGAGATTTGGAGGATGTTTCAGTATCTTACCGCATTCATAGACAGGTTATGCCGAATACTATTCTGCCATCCTTTAGAATCAGAGTTTTTGGCTTTGCTAGTATTCTTTTCAAACCACTCGTATATCTCCTTCAAAACCATCTTATGACCAGGGGCAGACATGAGTGCTCTCCAAATCAGTCTTGCGTAGGGTTCTTCGGATGAGACACTGTCATCGTCTGTCTCATCTTCGGATGCCAAGTTCACGGCCTCGGGTACAGAACGTACAAGCGAGTCAGAGCCATAGAGCACATGGAAGTCAACCGGGGAACTAGAGCCAACAGAGTTCTCAGGCGAGAGAGGGGGGTAAATGGCGCTTTCCGGCCGAGAGGTCGAGCTATCAAACGACGGTCGAGAACCAGTAGATACTGAATTTGGATATTGATTATCAAATATCTGGCTGCAATTTCTCTGCGAGGTTGTGGAGGTGTTTGGTCGCCCGGAGGTCTGGTATCCGAGGCGTTCGAGCTCGCGGAATTCATCAAACAGAGGATAGGTCGCGGCGAAAAGGTCAAGTTCCAGCTCGGTAGGCCCGGGAGTTTCGCCTTCCCAAGATAGTATGTTCCCCTTATTCTCCACAATATCATACGCCATTGCGTCCGTGCTGCAAAATGTATTTGGCTCCATAGCGGAGCCCCAACTTCCATGGCTGTGTGTCATGGATGAAAATTGCTGTTGTTGCTGGAGAGGGTCTCCAAAGAGACTTGGATCAAGCATCTGTTGCAGTATTGAAGGATGAGAGATCACACGCCTGTGTTGATGTAGCGAAGTGGCAGCAGAGCCTGGAGCGCATTGACTTTGAGAGATCTCACTGCCCTGCGGAGTGGTAAAAGGATGGGAATTGCTATGATGCATCTGTGTACAGATTGAAGGGCAGAGAATGCTTGTGTCATCGTCCATATCTTCTCAACTTTCCTCAAGATTTGGAGGAACGAGCTCCATCCAATATGTTTAAGACAGTGTTAAGATTTGTGGAGACAGAAGATCTCAAGGACTAGGTTGAGGCCGGCTTTCCAGGAGAAGATTCGTGAGACAAGGGTATGGAGAGATAAGGAAGTAACTAGAGCTTCTCTAGGCAAATTTCATATATTGTCCTGCAAAATGGCTGAGTCCTGTGGGAGAACATGCCAGCTCACCTGCGCGACACGATTGCTGCAGACAACCCGTATAACTCTTGTCGAAAATGAGCAAACAAAGCAGCAAAAATGATGGATGAATGAGAGGGCTTTTGTATGCTGAAATATTGCCCTGCCTGAAAAAGAATGCCTTTGTGGAACAGCAATCTTTTGGAGGTATACACAACCGATTATTGACCAAGGATGCTAGAGAACTCCAAGTTCTACAGCGGTAGCCTGACGGGACGGGGAGCAGGTTGGAGAAAATGTGTCAAGCAGACTAGCTTCAGACCTTGTCATGCTCGTTGGGCACAGACGGGGAGCTGCAGGAGAACATTAACCTGTCATGAGTTACATCCCGCAGAACGGTCTAGCTCAAGGTGGCTGGGTTCCAGGAAAAAGCACCGGATAGGGTCTTCTGGAAGGTCTCACAGCGCAAGGTCCGGTGAGGCGGCTGTAAGCCTCCAATTAAAATTGTTGTAGATCTTCAGATGCATGTCCAATAGGATGACCAAATAACGCGGCCTTGGAAATTACCACCCTAATCACCTTGAGTACAAAGGATACGTCAATGCAGTCTTGCAACAAACTTCCCAGCAGAGTGGTCATATTTAACCGACTAGCCTGGCGTGGGCGGTGATAGGCTGATTATAAGTAGACATCATTTGGGCAATAGGTGTGCTGCTGTTCCTATAGAGCACAATTCCCCTCGGAACAATTCTTAAACTTGGAAAAATACAATAAGACGCCCAAGTGCCACGAGTGTCGCCTTAACTTGTGAAATCCCGGATGCTATCGTAGAGCATACTGCGTTCGCTCGCACCATGTGATGCAGGTGTAAAAGCAGGCTATAATCATGTTTATCTCAAAATCACTTACGATAGTATATCTGCGATAAGTGTTAGCCTGTGTAGTTGCAAGCGTGGAAAATCGATATGAGATGATACATACCTTCTTAAATTGGAAATGAAGTTGCAAAATGCCCTGGATGGTAATTAGCTGAGGCGCCCAAGTGCATGGCAATGTTTGAGCCACATAAAATAAAAACTAGTACGTACTTTATCAAACGTGCTCCTGAACCCACGTTCTCGCTTTGCACTGTAGTCCCACTCCTTGTCTACAATACGGAAGGCCAAATCTTCATAGGGTGGACCGGCAATGAAGCGAAGTAGACATGTGTCTTCTTCTCCGGCTGGCGCAAAAGACTGTCCTCGTTTCCTACCATGTTCTCTTTCGATGCGATAGGTGGGGGCTTTTGCCTTGTCAATAAGATCCGGATAGAAGATGTTGAATTTGTAGCCTTGCACAACTTTTGGGGGAGGATCATCATAGTCATAATGGGTTTGGTTATATTTGTTCCATTCATATCCCATCTGCACACGGTTGAAGTATCGTGGCTTTCGTGGCCTGTACTTATTCGCCCAACTCGGTTTAGATGTGCTGATAGTCTCTTCTCCAGCAAATATCTCCTCATTTTCACTAACTCCTCGTGCTACTTCCCTTTCGTATAAGGCCTTTGTGGCCTGGGAGAAATCATCGTTTGTCGTTGGAAGGAAGCGTGGAGCAGAAGATGTAATGGCAGGAGATTCTGATGTGACCATAGATGAAGGAGCTTGTTTCTCAGTCAAGCGGTTGCGTAGCGGGACAAACCCCATTTTGATAATTTTCTTCCTTTCTTGGGCCTAGATGCAGTTAATCACAAGGCAGGAGAGAATAGATATGGGGGTAAGATAAACATACTATATGGCTCAGCAACTCTTCTTCATCCATAACCTCTAAATTTTTATCTTGACTGCGAAGTTGTAGAAGAGGCTCAGGGTCGAGTAGGGTCATCCGTTCAAGCTCCTGCTGCGAGGTTCGAGTACCCTTATATGGAGCTAAAGGGGCAAGCTTTTTCTGAACACTCTCAGCCTCCTCGCGCTGTTGCTTCCGCAGCTCATCAACACGGTTTTTGATAACAGCACTATAAACTCGCTTTAATTTCGCACGTGCCTTCCATACCGAAAGGCTCTTTAAGAGCTGTTCCCAATAATCAGTATCAACCGGCTCATTAGAATCCAACTTCCGGCGTATTTGCTTTTCTAGAGTGACAAGCTCATCATATGTTTTTGGACTCAGCAATCTATCAATATCAGCGGCGACTGAGTTAACCGCACGTTTTTCTGGGGCCGAAGATTCCGCCTTGCGGATCTGATCTTGACAGATTACTTTCATAGTCTAGATAAAGATCAGTAAGACAGCGAACTGCAGATGTCTCGAATGATGTGATATACCTTCCAATAGTCACGATTATCAGCACTGGTTTCAAGAGACAAGAAAGTATCGATGTCTCTCTCAAGGCTTGACAGCTGTGCATTTGATAATCCTTCAAAAACGCCCTCTGGTTCCACTAAATCTAGTTCTGAGTCTGCAATTTCGTCGTCTAATGGGTTCCGAGTCGGATCGATAACACGAAGAGTAATGGTCAGCCAGTCAATAGGTTTGGCACGTCCATCTTTAACTCGTAATTCGGCCTTCTTCTTTGCTTGCCTAAGCACAAACGTGTCTTCCTGAGCAACCCATTCACGCATTTCTTCATCTTGTTGTAACTGGTTAAGCCGTGTTTGTTCTTTCAAGTTCCAAGCGCCTCGATTCGCACTCCCTTGACCCCAACTTCGACCGGCATACGAATACTGGCCATCGAGATGTCGCAATTTCTCTGGCGGTGCGTGTGGAGGTGGCGAACGAGACCTCGGTCTCTTGCTGCCATATCGATCTCTAGGATTTGAGGGCATTTGTGGGGAACGGAAAAACTAGAGAAGTGAGACGATATTGAGGATGCTTTTCTTATGCGTTGCGTTGGGTGTTCATGATATCGCTTTTTGACGTTGAGGTTTAACGAAGCTGATCCCGGATCAAAACGGCAGCTTTTCCGAGCTCGGCATACTTTCCTTTTAGTGAGCGTTTAAGGTTAAGTTCAACAATCTACTCTGACGCTTGTGTCAACCGCAACTGCTGCCTGTACAGCAGACGATCTATGAAAAATCTTCAGCAATTTTACTTGAATAATGTTTTTTCTTAAGAGTTAGTTAAACATGACACGAAATTGGGAGAGGCTACCGCTTTATAGCAATTCATACCCGCCACTTCTATTCAGTTACGAGCCAAGTTCGGAGGGCTATGATGTCTTTCTCACTGATCTGGGCCATGTTTGGTCTGAGAGCTTAAGCCATAAACAAATTATTGATCGCGCCGCGAAGGACGATACCAGCATCGACCCCAGTCAGGATGAGGACCAGTACTCAGTACTGCTACAAAAAATCAATGATGCGCTGCATGGGTCTGAAGGAACATCACTGTTCCTTTCTGGCCGAGGCGCTGGATCGAGTTTAAGACTGTCGACTACTACGAAGCTACCAAAACCCCTAGAACCGTTAGAGTGGACATTAATCTTATCCAAATGTTCTCCTTCTGCATTAACACGTCATATGCTAGTACCTACATTGCGGAGCTGGCTGGGGATCGAGGCTCAGCAACAATCCCTTTGCGAGCTTTTAGAGGAGAAAGATAAAATAATAGGGAAACTTTTCGACAAAATAGAGTCATCGGGCCTTGACTTAAGCACTGTTTTTCCCGGGATGGCGAATATACGGCATGGCCAAAAGAGAGGTTCTCTGTTTTCACAGGCCTCAAAGCTGGTGAAAGGAGTGAGTCCGTTTGACAAAGGTTCTTGGGAGACTATACATTCCAGCGGTGGCTCGAAGAAATCTACGTCAATACCAGTTGGGAAATACCTGTACGATGATGATCTATTTGATGTACGAAATATGGAACTCATAGAAAGCGAGTGGTGGAATCTGCCTACAACAGCCCGTAGCTCCAACCACCCGGGAAAAGAAGCTCCAAATAATCTTGAGAGACGCACAGAAAATGATGGGAGTGAAAGTGATAACGAATTTCAAGTATTTCTACCTGTTCTACACGATCTCATGGCTGTGTTGCTAATTTCAAGCTGTAGACCCAAGAAACCCCCCCAGGACTCAAAGAAATTGGGACAAGGTCCTCGCCGGACACAACTGGCCATCGTATTAATTCAGAAATTTCCCCGACATGGCACAGCAACAAGAATAAAAGTTTCTCTCAGAAGCCTGAGAGCTTGGGAAATGCAAACGCGAAAGTAAAAATACAGCCACGCACTGATTCTGAGGATTCAACTACTACCAGTGCACCAGAATCACCGCCACGACAGAAAAACAAGCTGAAGAGCATTGGGACTATTGGTGGGAAGAAGCCTAGGCCTCCACCCAGGCAACAGGAGCTTGATCCTACCGCGCCGGAAGCAGGTGATGTCGTTAACAAACCCCCAAGGCCCAATTTGGAAGATCAGGCCACACCATCACCAACGGAAAGTGACACTAGTGGTGACAACGATGACGATATCCATAATAAAGGAGCTAACAGAGCTAAGGGACAAACTCTGCCTCAACAAAGCCACAGAGGCTCTCAAGAGACTGATTCGACAACCCAGGTAGCTCAGCTGGAAAGACAAGGAGCTCCACGCACACGTGGGATCGGGAGAATTGGCGGCAAGAAACAGAAGGAATCGTTGAGCCAGAGTTTGGGCAGAAAAGACGATGCTCTTGCCACAAGCTCCTGGGGCAAGACAGAGAGTCCTGAAGCAGAAGAGGGAGGCGGTGACCACTCCGACGGTGCAAGCAAACAACAACCACCCGACTTGTCACATGGACATAATGAGCAATCAACGACAACTGCTAAACCACACAAGCGGAGTGGCAGGCTTGGTATTATTGGGGGGTCGAAAGCTTCTAGCAAATTGGCCAATGTAAAGGGAAGGAATACATCCTACAATACTACGAATTTACAAGACACCAAAGCTAGTAGCCACCATGAAGCTGGCAGAATGGTTGATACAAGAGAAGGCCCAGCACAAGAATTACCTTCGTTACCGCCTAAATCCAGTGCTATTGACCAGACAAAAGCCGAGAACACGCCGGATAAAGAAGAATCTCCGGAGGAAAGGGCAGATAGAAAACGACAGGAACTACGACGCCAGCTTGAAGCAGCTAATAAGGGTCAGAACAAACCAGCAAAGAAGAAACGAAGATTCTAAGATAGGTACTATCTCTTTAGTTATAAGTGCAGGGTACATCATCCTTCATGTCCATTTTCAAATATACTGGACGAGGATAAATTGGTTCGTATTCAGCTTGTCTGGTTCAAACCAGGTGCCTTTAAATGAGGAGAAAATATCTAATCCATATGGAGCTATTCCCTGCGATTATATCTGAACGGACCACCCAATCAATCCGTGGGCGAATTGGGCTCCTCATGATTCTGCGCGTGGCGTAGATATGTTGTGAGGCTTGAATGCCGACTAATTATGCTAAAAGCGCATCGAAATGAAGACTACCACAATTCTACGTTTGTAAAGAGTATACAAGTGGTTGTCAAATAATGAGTGACTTGAAGACATTCGATAGGTTTAGGAAGTTTCTTGTCATTAACAATTGCTGTATTTCGAGGACAGCACGGATGAAAGACGAGAATATTCCAAACGACATCACAGTAGGCAGGAAAACTTCTGACTTTGAAAAGTATTGCCGTACACTAAAAAGAGGACTGGCCGATAATGCATTTCATGATTATATTCTTTTCATTTCGGGAACTCCCACCGGTAACAGAGATGGTATTCCCGCCCCAAACTCCGTTTGTGATCGAGTCTTGATTCCCGTTCATTTCAGGTATCACTGCATCACTCTGGTATTCCCTTTAACACGTCCACAACCCCACACACAGCATGTAATCTATCGCTTCTTAGATGAGGTGGCGGCCTTCTCCTGTGATTCCTTGAGGACTTTCTTGACGATCTTCTGCTCCTCAATCAAGAAAGCGCGGACAATGCGGTCCTTGACACAGTTTCCACAGCGGGAGCCGCCGTAGGCACGGGTGACGTTCTTCTTTGGGCGGGAGATCTGGGAGTATTCACGTGGGCGAAGAGCAGGAATCTTTAATAATATATCAAAGCAGAAGGTCAGTTGGGATCCTTGCAAAATATTGTTGTAAAAGATGCCGGCTGAGCATGATCCCCTTGATATCCAAAGTAAAATAACCATTTGAATTCGCGGAAATCATTTCGACGGTCACTCATTTGGGATTACTCACACCTGGGAGCTTGATTCCACAGTCACCACATTTGGGAGCAGATGCCTTCTTCTTGATGTGAAGGTATCGAAGGTTGCCGCCTGGGGTCTTGATAACACGGACCTTGTTAGATCGCGTGTTGTATCTAGTCGCAAAACTGTATTAATTATCTGAACGCCAGTAAATTCATTTCAATCGCAAGAAGATCCGCTTGGTTGGACACGTACGGGTTCCGTCGTCGCTAGAAAGTGGACATGGGCATTAGCAACTGCTTCGGCAATAGGAACCAGATTTAAATGTTAACTTACATATTGAAGTCTTGTGGAAGTCATCTTGTCGGCTTTCCAATCTCAACAACTGGCAAGATCAAAGGGGAGAGACTGGAGTGGCAGCTGGGCGACGTCGGCTCTTTTCTTCGTTGTCGTCAATATCAGATTTCCAGCGTCTTCAAAAAAAAAAAAGCGAACTAAGCGATTTGTGTGGGCTGGGCTAGTCACGGGATCAAAGCTCCCCTTTTGGCGAGCGCCCACTAGTCCAAATCGGGACAAGCATCACGCTTCGGAAGAACAAATATCCCGTTCCCAAAAAGGAATGGTCCAGAACGCGCCTCGATAGCTTTTTTCATCAAAGCAAGCAAAAAGTCGAGACAGCAAGACAGAACGACAGACAGAGAAGACAAGACAACGCTTCGGACGTGTTTTGGCCGCACTCCAAGCTGTATACCTCTGCGTCAGTCTGTCATATTCTCTCTCTTCTTTTCATTACCTATTGCCATTGTATTAAAACCTTTTCTGTCTCCGGGATAGAGCCAGAAAAAGGCCCCATGTCTAGTCTGTATCTCTACCGAGCACTCCTTTAAATCCGATCTTTCGAACGGAGAACGATATCTTTTTTTCAGTTCTTCTTGCGGGCTGACTGCTTGTCATGGCGTCCCTCCCCCCGCCACCTCCTCCGGGATGGGGAGCTGCACCTCCACCGTCGATGCCTCTTGCACCTCCGCCGCCGGGTTATCGACCGGCGCCAAACCCGATGCTCGCTAAGTTCGAACAGAAGAAGAAAGAATGGCTCCGGAGCCAGCGCAATCGCTTTGGAGAGAAAAGAAAGGCGGGATTTGTTCAGTCCCAAAAGGATGATATGCCGCCAGAACATCTTCGGAAGATTGTTAAAGATATTGGCGACGTGTCGCAAAAGAAATTCAGTACCGATAAGCGCAGCTATCTTGGAGCTTTGAAGTTCATGCCACATGCCGTATTGAAGCTTCTGGAGAATATGCCTATGCCTTGGGAGTCAGCGAGGGAAGTCAAGGTTCTTTACCACGTCAACGGCTGTCTGACCCTGGTTAATGAGACGCCGCGAGTTATAGAACCAGTCTTCCATGCACAATGGGCGGCGATGTGGGTATGTATGCGACGTGAGAAAAGTGACAGACGGCATTTTAAACGTATGCGATTTCCTCCTTTTGACGACGAAGAGCCTCCGCTATCATGGTCAGAAAATATCGAGGACGTTGAACCGCTCGAGCCAATTCAAATGGAGCTTGATGAGGCGGAGGATAGTCCAGTTTTTGAGTGGTTTTATGATCATAGACCTCTGCTCGATACCCCTCATGTCAACGGACCAAGCTATAAGGAATGGAACCTTACTCTACCGCAGATGGCTACCCTCTACCGACTAAGTCATCAACTTCTCAGTGACGTTGTGGACAAGAATTACTTCCACATGTTTGAACTGAACAGCTTTTTAACTGCAAAGGCTTTGAATGTTGCCATTCCTGGCGGACCCAGGTTTGAACCTCTTTACAAAGATATTGACCCCAACGATGAAGATTTCGGCGAATTTAATGCGATTGACCGCATCATATTCCGAGCCCCGATAAGAACAGAATACAGAGTTGCATTCCCATATCTCTACAACTCTCTGCCAAGGAGTGTGAAAATTTCTTGGTATTCGCATCCTCAAGGGGTCTATGTCAGAACTGAGGACCATAATCTTCCAGCATTCTATTTTGATCCTATCATAAACCCAATATCCTCTCGATCTGTTGCGCCACAGAATATAACAGTCAGTCACGAAGATGAGATCTTTGGCCATGGTAACGATGAAGATGACTTTGAGCTCCCTGCAGCTGTTGAGCCATTTTTAGCGGATGAGGAGCTATACACAAGCGAGACATCATCTGCCATTAGCTTATGGTGGGCTCCTTATCCATTCGACCGACGATCTGGAAGAATGGTTCGTGCGCAAGACGTGCCCCTGGTAAAACAATGGTATTTGGAACATTGCCCTCAGGGCCAGCCGGTTAAAGTTCGAGTATCCTACCAAAAGCTACTCAAGACATATGTTCTCAATGAACTTCATAAGCGGAAACCCAAGGCTCAGAATAAACAGAACCTTTTGAGAACGTTAAAAGGCACCAAGTTCTTTCAACAAACTACTATCGACTGGGTTGAGGCTGGCCTTCAAGTTTGTCGCCAGGGGTTTAACATGCTGAACTTACTTATCCACCGGAAGAATTTGACCTACTTGCACTTGGACTACAACTTCAACCTTAAACCAGTGAAGACTTTAACCACAAAGGAACGAAAGAAATCTCGGTTCGGAAACGCTTTCCACCTGATGAGAGAAATTCTCCGTTTAACGAAGTTGATTGTTGATGCTCAAGTTCAATACCGTTTGGGAAATATTGACGCTTTTCAGCTCGCGGATGGCATCCTCTATGCTTTCAACCATGTCGGTCAGTTGACCGGAATGTACCGATATAAATACAAGCTCATGCACCAGATTCGATCATGCAAGGACTTGAAACATCTTATTTACTACCGGTTCAATTCCGGTTCAGTCGGCAAAGGCCCTGGGTGCGGTTTTTGGGCACCTGCCTGGAGAGTCTGGCTCTTCTTCCTTCGCGGTATAATCCCTCTCCTCGAGAGGTGGCTTGGCAATCTCCTGTCAAGACAATTTGAAGGCCGTCATAGTAAGGGTGTCGCCAAGACTGTCACTAAACAGCGTGTTGAATCTCACTTTGATTTGGAACTCCGAGCTTCTGTCATGGCAGATTTGATGGATATGATGCCAGAAGGTATCAAACAAAACAAGGTTAATACTGTCCTTCAGCATTTGTCGGAGGCGTGGAGATGTTGGAAGAGCAATATTCCCTGGAAAGTACCTGGTCTGCCAGCTCCCATTGAAAATATCATCCTACGTTACGTAAAGAGCAAGGCAGACTGGTGGATATCAGTTGCTCATTACAACAGAGAGAGAATTCGTCGCGGAGCTACTGTTGATAAAACCGTCGCCAAAAAGAACCTTGGAAGATTAACCCGTTTGTGGCTTAAAGCTGAACAGGAAAGACAGCATAACTACATGAAGGACGGTCCTTATGTGTCTTCAGAAGAGGCCGTTGCTATTTATACAACAACAGTTCACTGGCTGGAATCGCGAAAGTTTTCGCCGATTCCTTTTCCTAGCGTGTCATATAAACATGATACTAAGATTCTGATCCTAGCCCTCGAACGGTTGCGCGAGGCTTACTCGGTCAAAGGTCGTTTGAACCAGAGCCAGCGAGAGGAACTTGCCCTGATTGAACAGGCTTATGATTCTCCTGGCACGACTCTCGCGAGAATTAAAAGATTTCTTCTTACCCAACGAGCTTTCAAGGAAGTTGGTATTGACATGAATGATAACTACAGCCATATCAACCCGGTGTACGACATTGAGCCCATCGAAAAGATCACAGATGCCTACCTCGACCAATATCTCTGGTACCAAGCTGACCAACGACACTTGTTCCCAGCCTGGATCAAGCCATCTGATTCAGAAGTACCGCCTCTCTTGACATATAAATGGGCCCAAGGTATCAATAATCTTTCCAATGTTTGGGAGACTGCTGACGGTGAATGCAATGTCATGATTGAGACCCAGCTATCTAAAGTATATGAGAAGATTGATTTGACATTACTAAACCGTCTTCTCCGACTCATCATGGATCATAACCTGGCTGATTATATCACTTCGAAGAACAACGTCCAACTTAACTACAAGGACATGAACCATACCAACAGTTACGGTTTGATACGAGGCCTCCAGTTCTCTGGCTTCGTATTCCAGTACTACGGCTTGGTCATCGACTTGCTCCTTCTCGGTCTGCAGAGAGCAAGTGAAATTGCTGGCCCACCACAGAGTCCAAATGATTTTTTGCAGTTCAGAGATCGTGCTACCGAAAGCAAACACCCTATTCGTCTTTATACTAGATATATTGACAAGATTTGGGTATTCTTCCGGTTCTCAGCGGATGAGTCGCGTGATTTGATTCAACGTTTCTTGACAGAGCAACCTGACCCAAATTTTGAGAATGTTATTGGCTACAGAAACAAAAAATGCTGGCCAAGAGATTCTAGAATGCGTCTTATGAGACACGATGTGAACCTTGGCCGTGCTGTTTTCTGGGACCTGAAAAATCGCCTCCCACGGTCCATCACGACTATTGAATGGGACGACACATTTGCAAGTGTCTACAGCAAGGATAACCCAAACCTATTATTTTCCATGTGTGGTTTCGAAGTTCGTATCTTGCCGAAAATCCGTAACCAAAATGAAGAATTCTCTGTTAAGGATAGTGTGTGGTCTCTATCAGACAACACCACTAAAGAGCGAACTGCATATGCTTTCCTTCAGGTCACAGAGGAAGATATTCAAAAGTTCAATAATCGCATCCGGCAGATCCTCATGTCCTCCGGCTCTACTACCTTTACGAAGATTGCCAACAAATGGAATACCAGTCTGATTGCTCTTTTTACATACTACAGAGAAGCTGCTGTCTCCACTGTCAACTTACTGGACACTATTGTTAAATGTGAGACGAAAATTCAAACCCGAGTCAAGATTGGTCTCAACTCGAAGATGCCCTCACGCTTCCCTCCAGCTGTCTTTTACACTCCCAAAGAACTAGGAGGCTTGGGTATGATTTCCGGGTCACACATTCTTATTCCCACCAGTGATAAGCGATGGTCAAAGCAGACAGACACTGGCGTCACTCACTACCGGGCGGGTATGTCTCACGACGAGGAGACCTTGATTCCAAATATCTTTAGATATATAATTCCTTGGGAAGCTGAGTTCATTGACTCTCAACGCGTATGGATGGAATACTCTCAGAAGCGTCAGGAAGCCAATCAACAAAACCGCAGGCTGACTCTTGAGGACCTGGAGGATAGCTGGGATCGCGGACTTCCCCGAATAAACACCCTTTTCCAGAAAGACCGCAGTACGCTGAGTTTTGACAAAGGTTTCCGTGCTAGAACCGAGTTTAAGATATACCAGCTGATGAAGAGCAATCCATTCTGGTGGACAAGTCAAAGACATGATGGAAAGTTGTGGAACCTCAATGCCTATAGAACCGATGTTATCCAAGCTTTGGGTGGTGTTGAAACAATTCTGGAGCACACTCTCTTTAAAGCCACAGCATTCCCATCTTGGGAAGGCCTCTTTTGGGAACGGGCGTGCCTTGCAAAGGGCACGATGCTACTTCGATATGATCACTCACAAGTTGCTGTCGAAGACGTTAAAGAAGGTGATCTACTTCTTGGCCCAGATGGAGGACCTCGACGCGCTTTCAACATCGTCAGTGGCGAGGATCGGCTCTATCGCATCAAGTTTGGGGATCGCAAGGACGACCTTGTTGTTACAGCAAACCACATCCTCGTCTTACACAAAGAAAAGAGTAGGACTGATGAATATGAAGCCAACATTGATCCTTTAGAAAAGGATGCTGAAGAATTCGTTGTCGCACCCGCTTCTCAAGAGGCTCCAACACCTGAGCGATATGAAACCGTTGAGATGACCGCTGCCGAGTTTTACGCTTTGAAGCACGAGGAGAGGTGCAAGTACATGCTTTTCAACTCCCCTGGTTTCGATCTCGCAGAACAATCAGTGCCCTGTAACCCATACTTCCTTGGGCTCTGGCTTGGAGATGAAAAACGCCGTAGTGCACCTATTCATGACTACTCCCATGAGGCAGATGTTCGAGGTTTCCTAGTTAGACATGCCGCGGAGCTCGATTTACATGGTCAGTTAGGGTTGCAGACCACTGAAGCGCCCAGGACTAATGCAGAGGGACACACACCCCGGCAGTCAATCATTTCACGGCGCCTTGCTGCTGGATGGACGTTCCAGACTGGTATTTGGGAACCTCCTACTGAAAATCCCACCTACAGAGGTGTGTCTTCCCAGGCTCGGCCCGATGACAAACCCATGGGTCTCATTAAAGATCCAGAAACTGTCAAAAAGGGCGACCTGGACAGCTATCTAGACATCCTGGGAACTGTGAATGAGACCGATGACAGCCAACTTGACGGCAACCTTCCACAGACTCAGCGAAGTGTTCGTCTTCAGACCGGCCTTAGTGCCTACGGTACTCTTCAGGAAGAAGAACAGGACCAACTTCTTGAACAGGTCACCGGAAAGTCTCAGGGCAACCCAGGTGTTAATTCGCTTCTTCAAGCACTTCGTGGAGTTGGCGTTATCGCTGAGCCTGAATCAATTGGTCCGAAGGATGGTCGTAAGCGTATTCCTGCCGTTTACATAAACAATTCGCGTGCTGTCCGACTGGCCGTCCTCGCCGGTTTGTTGGATAGCGATGGATGGCTCATCTACCCAGAGAACATGTTTGGCTTCAGCCAGAGCGAACAATGCAATTCAGCATTGTTCTGGGATACTGTCGCACTGGCACGCTCCCTTGGCTTCAGTGTATCGACTACACGAAGAATGATGTGGAATTCTACCCATGCCATGCAACGCCCTCAGCTATTTGCAGAAATATCTGGCAATCTGAAAGAAATTCCATGCCTCCTATCTCGAAAAATGGCTATGGATCTAGTCATTCCCCAGAATTATAGCTTTATAATCAAGGACATCACACTAGAGCGCGAGATCACTGGATGGGCTGGTTTCCGAGTTGATAAAGATCAGCTATATCTACGACACGATTATCTTGTCCTTCATAACAGTGGATTCGAAGAGTCAATGAAGTTTAAGAAGCTGACAAATGCCCAGCGGTCCGGTTTAAACCAAATTCCTAACCGTCGCTTCACTCTATGGTGGTCTCCGACTATAAATCGAGCAAACGTCTACGTTGGTTTCCAGGTGCAGCTTGATCTAACTGGTATTTTCTTGCATGGCAAAATTCCAACTCTGAAAATATCTTTGATCCAGATATTCAGAGCGCATTTGTGGCAGAAAATCCACGAATCTGTTGTTATGGATTTGTGTCAAGTTTTTGACCAGGAGCTAGAGCAGCTTGGTATTGAAACGGTGCAAAAGGAGACAATCCATCCACGAAAATCTTATAAGATGAACAGCTCGTGCGCTGACATTCTCTTGTTTGCAACTCACAAATGGAATGTGACAAGGCCCTCCCTTTTATTCGACACAAAGGATGTGATTGAAGCAACTACCACCAACAAGTTCTGGCTTGACGTGCAGCTCAGATATGGAGATTATGACTCGCACGACATTGAACGTTACGTACGCGCCAAATATCTCGATTATACGACCGACAGTATGAGTATTTATCCTTCTGCTACTGGTCTGATGATTGGTATCGACCTAGCGTACAACCTTTACTCTGCTTACGGACAATACTTCCCTGGCCTGAAAGCACTCATCCAACAGGCCATGGCAAAAATTATGAAAGCTAATCCTGCTTTATATGTCCTGAGAGAGCGTATCCGCAAGGGTCTGCAGCTCTATGCTTCTGAGAGCAACCAAGAGTTCTTAAACTCTCAAAACTACTCCGAGCTGTTTAGCAACCAGATTCAGTTATTTATTGACGATACGAATGTCTACCGCGTGACCATCCACAAGACATTTGAAGGAAACTTGACGACTAAGCCAATCAATGGTGCAATTTTCATTTTCAATCCAAGAACCGGCCAACTTTTCTTGAAGATCATTCATACCAGTGTCTGGGCTGGCCAAAAACGTTTGGGTCAATTAGCCAAATGGAAGACAGCCGAAGAAGTTGCTGCCCTTATCCGGTCATTGCCTGTTGAAGAGCAACCTAAACAGCTTATTGTAACCAGAAAAGGCCTTCTCGATCCTCTTGAGGTCCATCTTCTTGATTTCCCGAACATCTCAATTCGAGCCTCAGAGTTGCAGCTCCCATTCCAAGCAGCAATGAAGATTGAAAAGCTCGCTGATATGATTCTGAAGGCCACCGAGCCGCAGATGGTTCTCTTCAACCTATATGACGAGTGGCTCAAGACTATCTCTTCATACACTGCATTCTCTCGACTCGTTCTGATTCTTCGAGCTTTGCATGTGAATATTGAAAAGACCAAGATCCTTCTGCGACCCGATAAGACTGTTATTACGCAGGAGCATCATATCTGGCCGACACTGTCGGATGAAGACTGGATAAAACTTGAAGTCCAACTTCGGGACCTGATTTTGAATGACTACGGAAAGAAAAATAATGTCAATGTCCAAAGTCTTACAGGAAGTGAGGTTCGAGATATCATCCTGGGTATGGAAATCAGTGCACCATCCCTCCAGCGCCAGCAAGCTGCCGAGATGGAGAAGCAGCAGCAGGAACAGAAACAGTTGACTGCTGTTACAACCAAGACTCAAAACGTCCGTGGTGAGGAGATCATTGTTACCACTACTTCCCAGTACGAGCAGCAATCATTTGCATCCAAGACGGAATGGCGAACTCGAGCAATTGCCACCTCCAACCTACGCACACGAGCCAACAACATTTACATCTCTTCCGAGGATATCCAGGAAGACGGTCATTTCACTTATATTATGCCAAAGAACATCTTGAAACGGTTCATTATGATTTCTGACCTTCGCGTCCAAGTTGCTGGGTACCTATATGGAAGCTCTCCTCCAGATAACGACCAGGTCAAGGAGATCCGGACAATTGTCATGATACCACAGGTTGGTAATACACGGGATATACAGCTTCCGCAACAACTGCCTCAGCATGAGTACTTGAATGGTCTCGAGCCACTTGGAATCATCCATACCTTATCCGGCAACGAACCGACATACATGACAGCAATGGATGTGACGCAGCACTCACGGTTAATGAACGCACATTCATCATGGGACAAAAAGACTGTGACGATGACTGTTTCATTCACCCCAGGCTCCGTTTCGCTTTCGGCCTGGGCTCTCACTCCTCAAGGCTATAAGTGGGGCGCCGAGAACAAGGACACAACATCCGATCAACCGCAAGGCTTTTCGACCAACATGGGTGACAAGTGCCAGCTCCTGCTCAGTGACAGGATTCGTGGATATTTCCTTGTCCCTGAGAACAATGTCTGGAACTACAGTTTCATGGGAAGTTCTTTCAGCAGTGTGGAGAAGCGGCCTATCTATGTCAAGGTCGATACTCCGATGGTAAGCTCCCCCAGTCTTCTCCTACAATTTACGATATTTAAATAGTTTTAACTAACTGGATTTTTTTTGCTTTACCGAACAGAGATTCTATGACGACCAGCATAGACCATTGCACTTCCAAAACTTTGCCGAGTTGGAAAATATCTGGGTTGATAGGACGGATAACTTCGAGTGATTTATCCTATATAGGTCATCTCAAGTTTTATTTACTTCTTCGATTGCGTTATTAGTTTCCTATCTTTTCTCTCTCTAAGTCCTCGATATTTCCCCTTTTGAGGATATGTATGCTATGGAGCTGGTGTATAACCTTGGGCGTTCCCTGATGATTTGTGAAAAAATGTATTTGCGGAATTAATGGAGACTTGTTATCTGTATTCAATACTCTGTACAATCTACTGAGAATGACACGTCAGTGGTAGATCCCTGTCGGTCCTGTGAATATTAATTTTGCTTGTTCAAACCGTAGGTAGGCCTTCCGACCTCGTTTCTAGTTCAGGATTGGCGGTCGTATAGCCCTTTCGAGCCTCTGGCAGCCAGCCAAGCACGCCCTATGATAGAGGACAACTATATATTCCACCGGTTGAACAAAGGATTGTTTTTCTCTCGTATTTTGCTATCCCATTTTTCTCCCCCATCTTGGTAGAAGGATAGTAGACAGCTACCTCATCTCCTATTTGTAAAAACAGTTCTGGGCTGCTTTGGTGGCAAGTCGGCCGACCTCTAACTAGTGAGGCATGTCTTTTGATTTCGACTCTTACTTCAGGCAACTTGACCCCCTTAACTCCTGGACGGTCAAACGACTTACGGGCGGACTTGTCAACCTCACTGTCCGCGCCACAAAGAATAAATGTGCGGGCGGGGAGAATGAGGCAGCTAGCCAGCCTGGTCAACTTGAGGGCTGCCAGAGTTTGATACTGAAGTATGCTCCGCCCTTTGTAGCCAGCGTAGGTGAAGCTGCTCCATTCGACCAGATCCGACAGGTAAGGCTAGATATATAGTCCAGTCCCTCTGTCCCTCTTTATTTGGACTAGATGATGTTTATATCTATTCTAACCAAGCGTATAGAATGTTGAAAAGAATGCACTTGCGCTATTTTCTGCGCCAGATGGCCCGCTTCTATCTATGTTGACAGAAACATCCGTAGGAGTTCCGAGCCTGGTATTTCATGATGAGAAATCCCATATCCTAGTACTTGAAGACCTAGGAGCATTGCCACCGCTATCGGATCTTCTCTCGATTTCTTGGTTGTCCTCCCACTACCCGGAATGGCCTTCACGGTCTGGGTCCTACTTTTTGGAAGATCGCTCGCTGTGCCTGTCTACTGGAGAGAAATTCGGTCAATTCTTTGCTATTCTTCACGCTAAAAGAACGCTGAACTCGATCAAGTCATATGGCTGTGACCCTAATCTTGCCCGATTCAAGAACAATAGTATGAGGGAGGTAGTGCGAGACGCGGCCGTGTCGACTATGCGACGGTATCTTGTTCAATTTAACTGTGAAGAGGCGGAGAAATTAAGCCACGCTATTGAAGAAGACTTCGAGCGCCAGGAAGAGTGGGATGGCGAAAGATGTTTTAGCGTTGGCGATCTATGGCCTGGCGGTATTCTCATCGAGAATCTGCCCTTGCAACCATCCCGGGGTACACATAGCTCCGAGCTACCTAAGTTGCCTAAGCTTGGAGTTATTGACTTTGAGTTCTCAGGTCCTGGACGAGGTGTTAACGGTGATATGGCCCAGCTCCTTGCCCATCTCCATTTATACTATATAGCATGGGGTAATTGTGGCGACCGGTTCAAACCCTTCCAGGCCGGAGTTCTTTCATTCATTGAGGGACTTTGTTCTTCGTACGCAACGTACAGCCGATCACTCGGGGCTCCATGGCAGCTACACACTCCTGATTCATCTTCTCCTGGGAGCCTACGAAAGCCTTTTCAGACATCCTTCCCGCCATCTGTATCCTCTCACGCCGCTCAAATATTCCGCTCGTCTCTCCTCTTGCACGGACGAGAGATGGTAAACAATGCAGTTGAGAACGATTGGAGCAAATATAGCATAGACATACGTAGTGACGTTACTGACACGACGAATAAACCTGCCAACGATAACGGCAGCGGATTGACCGAGAGAATGGTCAGCACCGGAATCCGATGTCTTCGGTTAGCTGGGAATGACATTGAGAGTTTTGTCGAAGCTGATAATTGGAAGCAAGTCTGTTCCAGCAGTGAATCTTCGATAATTGCTAGGCTCTTCGTCGTTGACAGTAGCCCTCTAGCCTGAATCTCTACTCCTACTCAACTTGCCTCGCTGCCGGCCATCCTGCATCTTCTCTCTTCTCTTCTGCCATCTCAGCGTCCTCGCGATCTTATCTTATCTCCATGCTTGAGCCGCCCGCGGCCAAAATCCTGTCACGTGCTAAATTACTACGCGCGGCTGGCGCTAAACCGCTTCTGGCGCGCGTTTTCAAGTGGCAGAAAAAAAAAAAAAGTAAAAAAAGAAAGGCGGCGACGCGAAAGTCGCTCCATCCCACCAAGAAAAAAAAAGGGCGAAAGTTTCGTGACTTCGATTTTTTTTTTTCTTCCTTTCTTCTCTTTCTCTTTTCTTCCTCCCCCCTGGCAGAAGCCAGGAAAGGGACCCCTACGTTTATAGTTGAATATAAGTAGTTGATCCGTTTTCTTTGCTTCTGTATTTATCGAGTTTTACGGACTGTTTTCTTTCTTTTTTCCTCATACCCAAACCGCCGCGATGAAATACGTACTTGTTTCTGGAGGTAAGCCTGCAGCAATGCTTGACTCATGTTTCGACCCCTCGCATCTCGTGTATTATGGGGTTCGAGAGGATTAGTTTGCGGACAGTTTGATATATTATAAGAAACCATTTGGTTAATGTCTTTATTATCTATACAGGTGTGATCAGTGGCATCGGGAAGGGCGTAATTGGTATGCATCTGATCTGATATATATATATATATATATATATCATATATGCCAGTTGTTGGGAAAGCCCAAAGCTAAAACCCCTATGTCGAGTATGCATGTCCTAACAATTGCAACATATACAGCTTCTTCAAGTGGACTTCTCTTGAAGACCGATGGCCTCAAGATAAGTCTAACCTTGTCAATAATGCAATTGAGTCACTAGCTCTAACTATCGATGCACGTTACCTCTATCAAGATCGACCCCTACATGAACGTAGACGCCGGGACTATGGCACCTACGGAGTATGTAATGAACCTTGAGTCATTCTTTAGAAGTATTGTCTGACTATTGGTGACTAGACACGGTGAGGTCTTTGTGTTGAACGATGGTGGTGAAGCCGATCTAGACCTCGGAAACTATGAGAGGTACTTGAATGTTACTCTCTCGCGAGATAACAACGTGAGTCTGTTGTACGCCCTTTATAGAGAAGTAGAGAATTTACTCATTTGTGCATAGATTACTACTGGAAAGATGTACAAGCATGTCATCGAAAAGGAGCGGCGAGGGGACTACCTTGGCCGTACTGTCCAGATTGTTCCTCACCTCACGGATGCTATCCAGGATTGGATAGAGCGTGTAGCTAGGACTCCTGCTGACGATAGCAACGAGGAGCCCGATGTCTGTGTTATTGGTATGACCATTGAATAACCAATGCCAAAAGAAGCACTCGTTGAAGCTAAACTGAATATAGAGCTTGGTGGGACGCTTGGTGATATCGAGAGTGCTCCATTTGTTGAGGCCATGCGTCAGCTACGCCGCCGTGCTGGAAAGAACAATTTTCTCCAGATTCACGTCTCGCTTGTCCCTGCAATTCATGGGGAGTTGAAGACCAAGCCTACCCAGCAGGCTATCCGAGATGCGCGCTCAGCCGGCTTGAGCCCTGATCTGGTATGTGACTTAGGCAGTAATCAATCAGAATATATGGTAGTATAACTTGTCCATTTGCTAACATTGAAGCAAACAACAGATTGCCTGCCGTTGTGAAAGGGCTCTTGACAAGGCCACCACTGATAAGATTGCTATGTTCTGCCAGGTTGAACCTGAGCAAGTGATTGGCGTCCACGATGTTGCTTCAACCTATCATGTCCCTCTCCTCCTAGAACAGCAAGGATTCCTTGGTCAGCTTCGTGATATCCTAAAGATTGATGACTTGACCATTCCCCAAGCTTCTATAGACAAGGGCCAAAGCACTTGGAAACAGTGGAAGGCCCTGACAACTTCCCAAGAGCATGTCTATAGTACTGTTAACATTGCACTTGTCGGCAAGTATGTCAGTCTCCACGACTCTTACCTCTCCGTTATAAAATCTTTAGAGCACTCTGCCATGGCATGCCACCGAAAGCTCAAGATTACCTGGATTGATGCCTCAAATCTTGAGAAATCAGCCGCCGAGGCAAACCCAGAGGCATTCCACAAGGCCTGGCATGACATGTGTACTGCTGACGGCATCCTTGTTCCTGGCGGGTTCGGCACTCGTGGGACTGAGGGAATGGTAGCTGCGGCTCACTGGGCTCGTACGAAAGGCAAGCCTTACCTTGGTATCTGCCTCGGCATGCAAATAGCTGTCATTGAGTACGCCCGTAACGTCTGCGGGATCCCAAAAGCCAGTTCTATTGAATTTGATGACCGCACTCCTGATCCTCTTATCGTTTTCATGCCTGAAATCGATCAAGTCAACCTTGGCGGTACTATGCGTCTCGGATCTCGACCAACGATTTTTCAAAAGGACAGTGAATGGTCAAAGCTCCGAAGGTTGTATGGACTTAGCCGTACTTCTATTGATGAACGTCACCGTCACCGCTATGAAGTCAACCCGGAATATATCGATACTCTTCAGAAAGCTGGACTTCATTTCATCGGTAAGGACGACAAGGGCGAGCGCATGGAAATCATCGAACTCAAAGACCACCCTTGGTTTGTTGGCGTTCAATTCCACCCGGAGTATTTGTCCCGTGTCCTCGCTCCAAGCAAGCCGTTCCTTGGCCTCGTTGCCACCGCAGCCGGCGTTTTTGACGAGATTATGAAGTCTCAGGCTTGTGGAAAGGATTTGGCTAGCGGAGTTGCTAACA